GTCAAGACACGAGTCCTGTGGGTCAACAACGAGGGGTCGGACTAAACGTAAAGTTCAAAAGGGTCACAAAGAGGGGGAGGACTGAAGTCAAAACATATGAGGCCTGAGGGTCAACAACGTGGGGTCAGAATAATAATAATAACAATGCTGATCATTTCTATAGCACCCACTCCCGTGTGAACACAGTTTTAGGCGCTTTACATGTACAAACTATTTTCCCACTCGCATATGTGCGCAGGAACACACACATACACACACACACACACACACACACACACACACAGAGAGAGAGAGAGAGAGAGAGAGACAGAGACAGAGAGGTGGGGACTGGGATTGGAGGGTGGGGTGGGGTGGGAGAAGGAGGGGGCGGAATCGGGACTGGAAAGGTTGAGACCCTTTTATAATTTATTTTGTTTTTTATTTTTATTGTTTTAGTTTTTGATAAGCTTGGCCATTGTTCAAAAACATGACAAAAGTATGTGAGTATGTGGAACAATTATCTTTTTTGACGTAGTCTACACAAGAAATGTTTACGTTTTTGGCTTGATAAATGATGTAAAAGAAGAAAAACATGTTTAGATTTAGTATCGTAGTTTTAGATGCATCCGGGAAAAGGACGATGAAGAAATTATTGTAGACTGCTGCGCGTCCAGAAGATACGGAGGTGGTTATATTATTATTATTATTAAAATCTTGAAGTATAGATCTAGATCATACATTTTTATCTTTCTTCTTCATTGTTCAACTGAATAATTATGTTGGTTGTGCAAGGTCTTCATGTACTAGATCTAAATGCATCATGTAGTTAGAACATAATGTGTCTAATATCTAGAATCTAGAGCCTCAAATTTCTGAATAACCATAGATATGGAAATGTAGTAAATTTTAATAATTGTTATGTGTTGGACCTACGCTCATTCAATTCCTTTTGTTTTTACTAAAATGTGTACAATGTGGGTGGATGGTGAATAGAGGTTCCAAGAACTGAGAGATATTTAATTTTAGTAGAGATTTTACAGCGTTCGCAACTGCATAAAGTCATATTATTATGAAGATGTGGGAATATTATAAATAGTTATGATTAGTAACAACAACACCTCAATCATATACTCACCATCTGTCGTACCATTTGAGTTTTCTCCTTCTTTTATTTGTAAGTTATATCACTCTCTTGTGACACTTCTTAATTGGCGCTTTTAAGAACAATTTGTATTGCAACTTCTGTAAAATTGATACTAAAACTAAATAGAATATTATTATAACTGCATGTATCCATCCCCAGGTGGGCCTACCTTCGCCTCTCGCCACCACCACCAGCCTACCCTCAAGCTTCACCCAGCTGACACCACCACCACCAGCCTACCCTCCAGCTTCG